TAATACCAAAGTGGATTCAATCCCCATATCAGCCACTTACTTAAGAGTTGGACTCCATGATCCTTGTGGGTCCTTTTCAACTTGGAATTCTCAGTGAACTTGTTGCATTGCCACATTGTGCCACTTTTCATGGCACAATCAGTCTTACAAAGATTAGAAAATGAGCAAAATCTCTCCTTCTATAGTAGGCTTTTATAGTTTTCTGGTTTGGAAAAGAAAAAAAAAGGATTTTTTTTTTTTTTTTTTTTGCCACAGAAATATCTCTGCTGTTGGTACCCTTGGTTCTGAGCATGTGATGGCATTTCCACCTTTTCAAGAAGCCTGATGAACTCAACACACTTACACAAAACTGAAGCACAACCTACATCTTTCTTCAGGACCTCACACCTGAGGATGCCTCAAAGAAAGCCCATCTTTTTGAGCCCCTGTTTGTTCTTGGCTTCAGTCTTCTCTGGGTGGATCTGGCAGAGCAAGGCCAGAATGGAACATCAGTGAATAAGTGTGCTGGCGTCACTGAAAAATGAAAACAATTGGAAAATGACAATCAAAGGAAGGTGAAAGATCTAGTCCCAGGGCTTCCTGCTGCAGCTGAGAGTTTATTCAGATGGCCCCCAGATAATCTAAGCCAGAGATAGGGCACACTGACTTATTATGGTGTTTATTCCCTTGGCTTTTTTAGCTGTCAGATGCAAGTGCAGTCTGTCCTGGATACCCTCCCACTTGCACACATCTTCAGGTTTAGGCTTTGATTTATGGTGCTGCTATGGAAGCAACATGGAATTTACAAATGAGAGATATAAATAAATGAGAAAGAGCAAGAAATTTCTATCCTGTAGCACCTTTCATTATGTAGTTATGTAGAGTATTATGTCTATATCAATTAAATACACTTGTTATCGGTACTTCCCATACAGATGTGTAAAGGAACCATGGCATGTGGCAAATCAGCTCCAAATCACGTCAAGTCTTTCCTGGAAGAAGTTAGTTTAGGTAGCACCTACTTTGAGTTAGATAATTTACTTGTCAAAACAATCCTTAACACAAGAACAAGGACAAACTTGTGTATGTGGGAACCAGCAGTCAAAGTCAAGTCATTTAACCAGGTTAAACACCTGGTTAGCTGATCTTTGCTGCACATGAGTTAATAACCTGTGGTATCTTCACAGTGAGAGCCAAACTCACTGGAGGAATCTCCACTGAAGGAATTTACAGTCTCCAGCACTGGAAATCAAGGTGCTTTTTCTCCTAGAAGCTGGGGGAACGAAGGACAAGGCTTATGGCAATAACAGCATCTACTGGTTATCAGGTTATGCACATTGGAGAGTTAATAGAATGTTTTTCCTGGCTTAATCCATTGTAGAGAAAATCATGGTTTTCCCAGCAGGAATAATTTGCCTTTATTACTGCTGTAGTCGCACTGAAACCTGGGGCTTGTGCTAAGATTTTGGGATTTCTAGCTTCAAAATCAAGTGTCTTAAGCAACAAAAAGGAAACATCTTGTTAAGTGCAGCATTCATGGAATTACCAGGGCAGATGCATCTCCACTGCAAGTCTGAGGAAGTTAATGTATTTGTTAAATGCTAAAATTTGCACTAGACTGAACTATGAGTACATTCTTGAAGTGTGTTTCTATGTTATCCACACACATGGTCAGGAAGATCATATGCCAAAATGTATGTTTAAAATATACTTACTATAATATCATTTAGAAATTCAACATTTTGTTCATTACTGTTACACTGACTTAGTTGCTTTATCCCAGGTTTTGCATTTGGTTCTTCTAAACCTAGGATCTGTCTCAAGCAATATGGCAATCCTATTACCCAAATGTTACAGCCTTATTTCATTATACAATTTTTATTCCAAAAGCTCTTCACAAAAGCCTGGAATTCACCTTGCACAATAAACAAGTTAAAAACGGGTCCCTAAAATTTCCTGGAGGCAGCAATTATAGCAATTTTAATCATGTTTGCTGCTGTATTTAACCTGAGATGGATGCCTAAGATCTTTTGTCCATTTGATTAAAGAGATAGCACAAGGGATGTACCAGAGCAGTTGGCTTTTAATGACCTACAAGACCCAAAATGTGTCTGCTCTACAATGCTGGAGTCAATGAATAGAATCATAGAAACATTTAGGTTGGGAAAGCCCTATAAGATCATGAGTTCAACAACCAGCCCAGCACTGCCACGGGCACCAGTAACCCATGTCCCCAAATGCCACATTGGTATGGCTTTTAGATCCCTCTGGGAACGGTGGCTCCACCATCCCTGGGTAGCCTGATCCAATGCCTGGCCAGCACTTCCATGGGCAAATTTTCACTAATATCAAATCTAAACCTACCCCAGTGCAACTTGAAGCTGTTTCCTCCTGTCCTGTCCCTGTTCCCTGAGAGCACAGCCTGATCCCACCTGTCTGCATGCTCCTTTCAGGAAATTGTGGAGAGTCAGAAGATCTCCCCTGAGCGTCCTTTTCTCCAGTCTGAGCCCCTTTCCCAGCTCCCCCAGCCTCCCCTCCTGCCTTGCCCAGCCCATGACAAACACCCATTGGTGCTTTCCTCGCCCTCAGAGCAAGAGTTGGCTAGTTAAAAAAAAAAAAAAAAAAAAAAAAAAAAAAAAAAAAAAAAAAAAAAAAAAAAAAAAAAAAAAAAAATTGAGCAAGATTAATCTGCAATAATTATATATTGCAAATGTATTTATTCTGTTTAGGGAGAAACTCCTGTAAGGCCCAGATGAGACATTTCTCACATATATTACTTAGCTTTTCCTGAGGCCTTAATGAGTTGCTTTAAATTACAGACTTAGGTATTGATTAGCCTCATTCCATTGAAATCTAGGCTTAGCAATCTATACTTGTCTATAGTTTATTTGTGATATTATTCCTAATAAAGAGCTGCAATTAATCCACATCAAGAAAAATCAATTAATACAGATTTGTATCACAAAGAAAGAAATCCTCCTCATATCTGCCCACTAATCCTGAAGCTTAGGTCTTTCTTTGCTACCAAGGAGGACAGATAAAAAATATTGATTTCACCCTATTTTTGCAATTTATAGTGATACAATAATAGCACATAGAACAGACGGGCTTATCAATTAAAACTATTTTTATACATGATGATAGATGGGGACACTCAATGCCTTTGTTCTCTGAATTATTAATAATTGTTAATATGATGGACTAGGAGTTGTGTAACAAGAATAATCACTCCAAGCACAGCTCTCAAAGAGTTTGGCTTCACTCCAGGTATGACTGTGAATTTTGCACTGAATGAACCACCATACTTGGTTCTAGAAGGAAAATTGCAGTTATCTGCAGCTGCATGGGAAAGGATGATTATTCTGTGTAATTTTAGACTAATGGTACAACATGAAGAAACACAAGATGCTATCCAAGCTGGCATCTTTCTAATTTTAACCACTTCTATCTCCCATTTTAACCAAGTTAATAACTAACCTAATTTATTAGAAATTTAAAAAAAAAATCTTATCAGAGCCTTCTTGCAGGAAGTGTCACATAAACACTGTGAATTAGAATTTGCAATTTTAGAAACCAAACTTTATCCTTGCTACGCAAAGAAGACAACAATGTGTCATTGTCCCATCACAATTCCTACTGTAAACAGTTTATGCGATTTATTCTTTGCATGCTAGATAATTACATATTTTATACCAGTGTATCGTCAGTATGTTGTTATTCTGACTGCCCCATAATAGAAATTGTGTATTTTCCCAGTGCAGTGAATTCTATTCTTAACATACATTGGCCTCAAACAGCTAAAAATATCAGAGCTCTGTTGCCTGTGGGAAAGTTCTGCTGGAGTTATTTCTATTAAAAGTTTAATATTTGTTTTCTTCAATTTTTCATACTGTATGTGCCATTCCCATTTAATGCCCTCCTCTCCCCTGTGCAATTACTTACAAGTGCTTAAGTGTCACATATGAGGCAAATAATGCCCTAATTCACTCTAATTCTAACATTAATATGAATGATTGGGAATGAGATTAGTGCTGAGGAAGACCATTTTAAAATAAACTGTGATGACACAGTGACAGCTATACAAAGGATTAAAGAGTGTGGATTATCACAGGTTGTGGTTGGAGGTATCAAATGACAGGGCTCTGTGTTTGTTCTTGCCAAAGACCCAGCAATCAGGGGCTGGAGCAGCCAACTGTAATTCTCACACTGAATCTCTGGGTTACTCTGGGGTTTTTTAACTCCCTTAGGTTTTTGACAGACAGTAGGTTCAGAAAAAAAGAGAGTTTTTTGACAAGTATTTTATATATCTGCCAACCTAGAGCCCATGCAGATACGAAGGGAAAGCTTTAGTTTTATAAACATTTGCTTTTTAACCCAAATTCATATCATCCATAAAGATACCATTAAATTAATGACAATATTTCTTTGCTCTGCTGTTGCACATTTAAATTTATCTTCTTGCAATGATATTTTTGCCTTTCTTTCCCCTTTCTTCAAAAGCTATCAGAAGCCTATTTAGAAACCTTACTTCATGCAACTTAACCAATAACATCCATGTTCTTTAGGTCTCTACTTGTACATGTCTGATCCTCATTTTTCTGATGTCTTCATAAAATACTTTTCTATTTCAAGCTGCTTAAAATTCAATATGGTTGCATTCAAGGAAGTGAGGAAGGAGTTGAGAAACAGTAATTATTCTTTGTCTCAATTATCAGATTTTGGGAAGGGCGAAAGAAGCCACCATCATCTTTTGACCCACAGATAACCACATGGTTTTCCCTACTGAGCCTGTACTGGTTTAGATCAAAGAAGATATGTGTAATTTTATAGATTTGAGAGATTGCATGTGGCTCACACAAGACACAAAAATTTACAGTACACAAGTCACAGCTCTTGTGGGGCTGTGCTGCTGGAAATCTTAGCCTTGCAATACAAACCATAAGGAAATATGTGTTTAATGTCCATATTTAAAAATACAAGACATAGCAAGTTCAATATATTGAGTGCGAAGACACTTCACACAGAAGGATTTTGAGAAGAGAAAGTCAAGGCGTGTGTGTACATTTATCCCATAGTTCTATTTCCGATTTAGTGTATTCCATAGAATTTCCTAAACTTATTTATATCAGAGTTTCTATTACCTGATTTCAAAATTTTCAGCAAAATAGCACCCACATTAATCTCCACTATGTTATTCTAGAGAAACGCAGATGTCACCTGCCTTAAACATCCTTATTTGCCAGCTTCCTTTTCATGTAGTCATGGATGGCACCTGTCCCTTAGTGTTTTTGGAAGCTTATATCCAATTAGTATCTACTGTCACCCCAGAAAATCTTTGAGATGCTTTAAAAGTCCTGGGTACAGACATAGGGATGTTTTGCTCTTAAGTCTGATTGCAGTAGTTTGTTCCTAAAAGGCTTGGAAAGAAAACAGTGAATGATCCCTATTAAGGATAATTATAAGATATAGATTTTTTTTCTGAAATATGGCCAGTTTTATCCTTTTTATCTTATTGTATTTTAAACCAGTGAAGAAGACCAGTATCATTCAGGTTTTCTTCTTAATATATTAAAAAGTGAGCCAAGTGGGTACAAGTCTGGCTTTTCACTTTGTTTCCCTTATTCTTTTGCAATTTTAAACTTTTCCCTCATATATATTGATACAAGTTTTCTCTTCTTCACAGCCAGAATTACATATATACAAACAATATTTATTTCCCCCCTCCACTAACCTAGAATTTCCTCTCAGTTTGTTCCCTATCTTCTCTTATGTTCTTCCATTTGATCTCTGGATTTATGTTCACCTCTTACTCTGTTATTTTAAACCCATCATGCTTGTGTGTCATCC